TATTTTTAAAAAGTACTTTATTCTTGTGTGATTTTTGTGTGACTTGTATATTTTTGTGTGATTTATATATTTTTATGTGATTGTATATTTTATGCATTTATGCATTTTGCACCAAGATAAATTTCTCGTATGTGTAAAAACCTACCCTGGCAACTAAATCGTCATTCTGATTCTGATCTGGATCATTCTGATTCTGGATTTCTGAATGCATATTGAATTCTGATTCTGAATCCATTCTGATTCTGATCATTCTGATTCTGATTCCTTGATCATATCTGATTCTGATCATTCTGATTCGTGATATCATGATTCTCGATCATGTCTGATTCTGATTCTGATTCTGATCATGATGCTGATTCTGATCATTCTGATTCTGAATTCTGATTCTGAAACCAATACTACTCCACATTCATAATGTGCCATCCGACTTATGAGTGTTCATAATTACATTTTTTAAATTATCTTTTTTTTTTTTTAAATTAAATCCTTTAAATAACACGTGTGATGTTTATTTTTTTATATATATATTTAAAATAAATATAAACAGAACAAGTCTTTACGAACAATTTTACACCCGGACGTGACGTAGGCCGATCCGCAGGGTCAAAGTTGAAACAAACCTCCCTAACTTCCTTTCCTGTTAGCGGTGGCCGTAGAACAGCATCAGTGAGTGAGATTTCCCTCGAAACAATCTTCAACCATCGCCCCAAATCTGGCCGAATTTATAGTTTTTATCATATCACACTTACGACAGTCACTCCTTTAGCCAAGATGTCCGTGTTAGTTTCGTGTATTTTAATTCGACGATGGGAGAAAAGTCGCAGTTTGAGAGCGGCGTTTCTTCTCATTTTCAACATGGAAGCTTCCCTGATGCAGACACACAGTCTGAACGTGAACCGTCTCTTAGAGAGGACAGCTTCATACTTAAAGAGTGTCTTGTTGCTTTACTCCAAGTGAACCAGCGTTGACTGTTATGTGGGAAGCTTCCAGCTAATTAAACGCGTCAATCTCTGGAAACGAGCTGAAATCCGTTTCCCTATCTGGAAGCTAATGCTAAGTGAACCGAGCAGCTCAGGAAGTCCAGGGGCGCATTGCTAAGGTTGCTTGTGGTGTGTTGACTTCGTTGCGGTGCCACATGAGTTGACTGGTGTTTCTCTTTCTTTGTGGCAGACATGGGCAAGTTCATGAAGCCTGGGAAGGTGGTGATGGTCCTGGCTGGACGCTACGCTGGGCGCAAAGCTGTCATCGTGAAGGTAAAACATGGCCCTGTTACCTGTTACCTGCTGCTTATTGAGGCAAAGTAATGATGGACTCAACACAATGTGTACATGCTCTACAGCTGACATGTATATGTATGTATATATACTAGTTCATTCATGGTCAGTTCTCCCATCTTCATCTGCAAGTGGAGTCACACCGACATAATAAAGAGACACATTTTATTGTTTATTTTATGTTTCTGTTTAAATGAGACTTTGTGTTCTGTTTGGGCGATGTGTAGTAAATATAATGATATATTTGGCTTCCTATTGTCCCATTTTTCGTTGTTTTGTTCAGCTTTTATGTTATTTATGTAAAGAGACAATTATTTATTGGAAAGCATGTTTTAGAACATATCAGAACTACTTTATTAAAGTAGCTGTTGAACTGTAATTGTTCACAATAGACACACGATCATTTAAATTGTGCTTTTTATGTTTTTATTTTATTGCTTCAATCACAGATTATATGTTGGGTTATGTGAATTATGTTTATTCTTTGGTTTTTATCATGTTTAATGCATACTTACAGCTGTGAACAAATTAAATATAGTAAAGAGACCACTGTGCTGCTTATGAGTCTTTATCCTTTACACTTTATGTATTTTGCTTTGTTTTAGTAGAAAACCTTTTTTTCCAGCTTTATTTGAACACATCTCATGCAGAACAAGGGTGACAACACATCCTAAATACAACACCCATTGCATTTGTTAGATAAATACTTCATTTCAGTAAAAAAATTGAAGTGCAAAAGGCAAAATCAGAAACATGGACTTAAAATTAAAATTAGTAAGTTAGTTGTATTTTCTGTTCTTTGTTTTTAGCTTTGTAGCTCCTATAGTAATTTTATAATTTGGTTAATGAGCAGAATACAGTTATCCATCCTCCGATACATTAACACCATGTTAAAGCTGCACAGCGGTTACTCTTTGTTGTCGTGGATGCTCTGTGTTATATATCACAACCCTGTTTCATTGTCTCTTCGCAGAACATTGATGACGGAACAACCGACCGTCCTTACAGCCACGCTTTGGTCGCAGGCATCGACCGCTATCCCCGTAAGGTGACCACAACCATGGGCAAGAAGAAGATCGCCAAAAGGTCTAAGATCAAGGCCTTCGTCAAGGTGTTCAACTACAACCACCTCATGCCCACCAGGTCAGTGTCCTGAGTTAATGCTCATTTGGGTGGTGGCAGTGTTGGACATTGTACTAATGTGCAATAGCAGACTTGAAGTACTTGTTCTCCAGCAATACAAATGTGTTGGTAGGTAGATAAGCAACATATATGTGGTTGAAGCACTTTAAGGCTTGAATGTACATGAAACCTAAAAGATGAGCAGACTGTAAAATGAGAGCCGTCAATACAACTCCCAAAGGTGTATTGTGTTCAGTTTATGTTACATGGTGAGTTAAAGCTACGCTACTCTTTGCAGAAACCTGTGATGGAGCAATGTTTTGTTTCCAAAGCATCCTGTATTTGGTACAGCACCGATTCCCGCCGCTGTCTGGCTGCTTGTCCATAGCAGATTCACGGCTGGTGTAACACTAGGAGCCAACCGCCATATTAAACTGAGAGAAACACACTCGGATATTAAAACAGATGGCCGTAATAAACCTACAGATTGTTGAATTAATCGGGAGAAACCTTTATCATTGTAAGAAAACTTTAAAATGGGAATTCAGAGGAGGAAATAAAAACTTCAGAAACCAGCGCCTGATAAGTTAAAGTGGGAAACTTCATTTTAAACATTCATTCAACTGTTTCAAACTTCTTTACCTTACAAACCAGTTTTAATTTGCATAACAGTATAAACATTAGACAGTCCAAACATTGTGTATGTATATAAATATATATATTTTACCAGGAGCTTTTTAACAATTGACGGATTCTGATTCCATTTTTTTTTTCCGTCTAAAATACATTTTAAGCACTCTTACAGAAACTGATTCCCTCAGTCATCTTGCGTGGAAGCAGTTGTCTCCCAGATGCAGAATCAGTCCAGTTTTAATGTCAGGTTGTAGAAATGAGGCTTAAAATGTACTTTTGTTCTTATCCTGGAGCAATGTTGAACATCATGACATTATGTTCATAAACACCTTGTAGAATAGGGCTTGTGAACATATTTACTTGAGGCAAAGTGAGTGGTTATTTAATTAAATGTTGCTCCCTTTGAATCAGCTGTATAACTTGAAGTAACAGTTGAATTCCTCTGAAACAAGACAAAGACTTCACGAGAAGGTTATGGGGTGGGACACCCAATGAGAATCTAGACAGTGATAAAGTAATGATCTTCTTCAGCTACCTTCCAGCTGCTCATGTGTGATACTTTGTGATGTTAGACTGCTTGGTTGCTTCCATTTCCTTCCTTGTAATGACTGTTTGTGTGTGCTCTTCTCCTTCAGATACTCTGTGGATATTCCTCTGGACAAAACTGTTGTCAACAAGGATGTCTTCAGGGATCCTGCTCTCAAGCGCAAAGCCAGGCGGGAGGCCAAGGTCAAGTTTGAGGAGAGGTGAGTCGTGTGTTGGTGGTTCTGTTGAAGTCTCTTTCAACATCATTTAGGCTTTGTGTCAATATCTTAAGGGTATGCTTCAGAGGACAACTGAAAGGATTACTTGTTCAAGAACATTAAATTGGACCTTCAGAGGCTGTTTATTCTCGCACATAATGGCAGAATGTGACCGTGTAAAGCACTTCGAGTGGTCCAAAAAATAGAAAGGAGCTATACAAGTGCAGTCTATTTAATTAGACCCAAAAGCCTTCCAGTTGCTACAGTGAGATGCTGGTTTTGATGCAGTTAATCTTGTTTGTGTTTTCAGAACAAATGTGTAATAGTGTCTTTCTCTGTTTCCAGGTACAAGACGGGCAAGAACAAGTGGTTCTTCCAGAAGCTCAGATTCTAACTTCAACCGGTTTCACAAATAAATGTTTAAAAATGGATTCTGACTGTCGACTCTTTATTGACAATTTCTATCTTTTGAATTGTATGTGGCAGCCATAAATGTTTTGTTCTTGTGAAGTATTACAACCATCTGTGCCAAGTTCCCCAGTCCCCAGAAAAATAGGTGATCTGTATATTCTGCTTGAGTATTGATCTTGTCTGTTTAGAGTCAATAATTTAGAAATAATTATGAAATGGATTTACTAAATTCTCCCAAAATGTGACGGGGAGTCTCTGTTCAAAACCTAATCACACCTGGTAGACGTGTTGTCTCATAAACCTGTCACAGTATTTGACATGATATTGATTTGTATTGTAATGGGACCAATACATTTCCACCAAAGACAAATATATGTCCTTTGTTTTCTCAGTTAATCTATTGTTAATCAAATAGTGGACACCATTATGGCGTTAAAGTCTACTTACTAGTTTGTAATAAAGATGATTATCAAGAATAAAACGCAGAACCACAAGCTGTGGCTGAA